GACTCATTAGAGTTCCCCTAACTACGTTTTTGACTTTAGGTGCTACCTACTTTGCTTCTTCTTCTTCTTCTTCTTCTTCTTCTCTCTCTCTCTCACATAATTGTATTTGAATAAGTGATGTAGGCTTCTTTATTATTCACAACTAATTTCTTCTTCTATATTCCCCAAAGATTCTTCTCCAGAATATAGACAAATGGATCTGACGAGACTAACTTGAGTACGACGTCGTTGTATATATCAATGATCTCTTCCGCCTTATAAACCTGTAAATGATCTGACCTGTTCGTTGTTCATTCATTGCACGATAGATATCTGTTTACCGAAATGACCAAAAAAAGAAAAGAAAAACGATGATTGTATCTATCTATATATCTAAAATTCTCAATAATGACAAATAAATAACCAATTGATTAATTAATTAATTAATATAATCCTATTTGAAATAATTATTTTCACGATCATTTGAAGTTTACGCAACTTCTATGTATTCAGCTTGTCATTTCTGTAACATAATTGCTGATCTGTTTGTATCATTTAATTCTTGGCTCTTCACAATTTTGTTTATGGCAACCCGTTTATCTGACGATATTGACTTCTCTACATCCTTAACCAAACGGAAACATGTAACTTAATGTAAGTTGCGTTCCCCATATTATATGTCGTCTCCCTGTAGTTTCTTAAAATACTATCTTCACTTCACTCCTTAATATAAGAACTAGTTGATTAATTTGAGTAGATTAAGGAAGTTTGTTAAGTTAGTTATTTGTAATAATTAAGTATTATATTCCGTAAAATACCCTTACTAATCATGTATTAGCTAAAACTATCATTTGATTGAACATTTAACATGTACAATTGCTACGACTACTTTAAAAAAATGGATAAAATATGAGAGATAAAGAGGATTAGAATCTTATATTTATTTACCAAATTAAAAGTCAAACTAGCTTTTATATTAAGAATTGGAGGTAGTAGTATATTGGAAATAAAACAAAATTTAATGAATAAAATTAATGTCATAATTAAGTTATGATTACTCATGCTCTGAAAATTACAAATTTAATTGTCGATAAGGTCAGATTATTATCTTAAAAAATACATGCGGCCACCTTGAAAATTACTCCTCCAGTCCTCAACACAGGAATTAATTAGAAAGTTAATGTTGGTCATATATATAAGACCTATTTCACATGTTTATTAATTTTTTTTCCAAATTAATCCTATTAATATTTCTCCAACAATAATCAATAGGAAAAGGAGGGACAAAATTAAAGAAGATGCTTAGGGTGTTTTAGAAAAAAATATATCATATTAACTAATTTAACTAATATCTTTAATTTACTCAAATTAGTTAATTAGGTCTTATATTAAGAACCAGAAGAGTATCATTGATTGATGATTTTTAAAATGAATATTAAAAAATATTGCCTAGTATTTTTCTTCAAATTTAAGTCTTTAAGTAAAATTTCTTTTTTTTTTGGCCATATATCTTTTTTGAAAGATGAAATTTAATATATTAGTCTTTTATTTGACCAACCAGAATTAACTTAGTCCGTACCATATTGTATGATAAATAAACGAAGATGGATTTAGCCACTTGCCATACTACCAACCGAACATTATTGTTTTTCGACACTATCATACCAAACCATTTACGTCAGAGATTAAGTGAGGGCAATAAATTATGCTTTTTTTAATCTCAAGGGTCAATGAAATTGCATAACGTTCTAATTTTTTTTTTAAAATTTATACTCCTCCCTCATAAAATGTAAAGAAAGTGTAAGAAAAAAAAGATCATATAACGTATAAAATATATATATATATATATATATATATATTACTTGCTATGCCTATAGGATGAGTTAAATGTATTTGAAATTATTATCTATTATATTTATAATAGAAATGTGCCTGACTGAAAGAATCAACCTCTTAAAATTTAGAGTGATCTAACTTTATAATTTCTAACGTGAAAACAATACATATTTTTAATGTTATATCCTTAATTAAGAAAATATTATATATATATATATATATATCTTCCAGAATATGTGCAAAATAAATTAATTTATACGTACGTTTTGCGATATAGATATGTTTTTATTTTTCTGGAATTTTTGAGTGATTTCGTTGCTTTCATTATATAGTGGAAAGAAAAAAAAATTTATTGGTTTTATTAAATATCGGTCCTTAATATAATAATTAGAAAACAAATTTATGGATATTAAAAAAATTAGTTATGCTAGTTATTTATAATAAATGAGTGTTGTCTTTTGTAAAACACCATTGTTTTTTTTTTGCCAGCAAAAATAAAATATCATTGTTAATCATGTACATTATAAGAAAAATACTTTAACGTGTGCAATTATTATGGATACTACTTTGGAAAAAATTAAATGAATGGATATAAGAGATGAAGTGAGTTAGAGTTTTATATGTATTATCAAATTAAATCTCTAACTAGTATATAATTTCTAGCCATAGTTAACTTCAAGAATTAATGAAAATCCTTTTTGCTAAAAAAAAACAAAGAATTCATGAAAATCCTTATAATGGGAATGATGAAAAGTGGGAATATTCGAAATTTGGCTTTTAGCAATTCTTCCGAAAATGTGATAGTAATGATTTTCAAATGCCGTTGACTTTCTTTGAATAATGTAAATTTATGTAAATGGGTATATAATTTTAATTAAAGAATAATAGTACGCAATCCAGGTATTTTCCCCCAAATAAAATTCAATCATATGCTCATTTTTTTAAAGTTGTTCTCTGTTGAGATTACCTTTTCAGCAATCTATTAGGTGGAGCAAACCCTTTTAAGCCTACGATTAAGTCTCATTTAAACTAATTTATTGCCACTTGATACTTAACAAAGGAGAAAGGACAACATCCATCCATCCTTATTTCTTCCCCCGCCTCTATGGCTACGTTCACGCGTAAGAAGCTAATTAAGAATTGTCATCAAATACGGAAATGTTACAAATATGAGTAAACTAACACGTACATTAAACGTTCACCCAAAAAAAAAAAACGTACATTAAACGAATGCGTGTGTGTGTTTTTGAAACTTTGAACATATTATAATTAGAGTTTTGTGATATAAATTAAAGTTTGTATGCCAAGGTACTTTGTGACACATACCCTAAAATAATAAAATATCCTTGTAATAAGTCTTTTTATATAAATCATCTTGTTGTAGCTTGTAGTATCCTCAAATCACTTTGACCTTGAAGCTAATCTCTGTTAGATCAAAAGCATTAAGGTTAAAGGTTTAAAACCTCCCTAACAAGTATACTTCTTAGGATTTAAATTTGCGTTTTTCTTAACAAGGTGAAACTACTTACCATCTCAACTAATAACTCATTGGTTGTCGGCTTTTTTTACATAAATGATCTTGATTGGAGCTCTTGCTGCCTATATCTCATCCTACTTCATCCAAGCTAACATTGAGCGCCCGTCTCGTTCAAAAAATCATCAGCAATGAAAGGGAATAATGTGTTTGGTATGCCACCCAAAAAAAGAAAATCATAACATGAAATTTGTATTTTAGTCAAGGATTAATATTGTATCAAATTTTGATTTTAGTTCGTAAAGTTTTAAATCGTGATTTTTAGTTCTTGTAGTTTCATCATAAGGATTTGGTCTAGGCTGATACTATTAAGTACAAAAGTTAAAATTAAAACTCGATAATGGGGATTACCTAATTCGTTGTAATATGTTGTCATTGAGATTACATTATAGTATTGGATTAATTACTTTGTTATGCTAATAATCAATCACCCTGATAATCCTCATACATGGGAATTGATTAATCAAATTGGTGCCATAAATATGCCAATCATTTTTGTCTGTGTCTGCTCGACAGGTGCCGACTAATAATAATAAAATCTAACTTAATCTTCCTTTACCCACTCCTAAATTTCCCCAATAATAAGAAAAACAAAATTAGAGAGGCCAGGGGTGGTATATACTTGTGTCCATCCAAAACAGAAGAAACAGTTAATAAGGGTGGAGCGCCATCGTTTCCGAGGACTGAGATTGCAAAGAAAGATGACGACCATCAGAGTAATGCTCGGCCACGGCGGAGAAAAAGAAGGCTCAAATGTCAAGACAAGTCCAATAGAAACAGGCTCTGATACCATATTACTAATTGGTGAGTCAGAAAAGTCAATTCTCAACGACACGCCAATAGTTACGCTGGTGTTTTAAGTACGCCTGCAAGTCACTTAGCATATACAATACCCCTCATCAAAATAAACACACCTCGTAGTTGCAAATCCTGCATACACACACTATCTCCGGTCCTAATTATAAGAGCCAGTTGACTAATTTGAAGAGATTAAGGAAGTAAGTTGAGTTAGTTATTTATCTTAAATAAATATTATTTTTCCTAAAATATCCTTACTAATCAAGTGTATTGACTAGAACTATCATTGTTAGAAGGGGTACTTTAGAAAAAAAATATATAAATATGAGAGACAAAGTGGATTGGGATCTTATATTTAGGACTAAAATAAAAATCAAACAGTGTCTTGTATTAAAGACCGGAGGTAATATATGTATATATATAACTTCGTCAACCAAATACATTAATTACCCAACAACAACTCTACGAATTATACGTACTTGTATGTTAGCAAAAGCTATGATCATATCAATGAAACACATATGCACTTAAAAACAGGGGACGTACACAATATATTCACAATGTTTAGACGTGACTTGTACTAGTTTCAATTCCGGTGATACATTAACATCAAGTTCCACTGTTTGCATTATTAAAATCCTTCCTAGATAATGCTTTTATTTCCTTTTAGATATCTGCAGGACAACGTCGAAACGACAAACCACCAACTCCAACGTTATTATATTCTATACCCATCTCTCTCCCTCCCTCCCTCCCTCTCTCTCTGGTTTAGTGCCTATATAAATCCATGCAAAGATGGCCTGTTTCCTCCATAGATAGCATCGAACTTGTTCATCTCCACACGTTTCAGAGATACAAAGGCTTTAGAGGTTAACTCTAATTATTCTGACCAGAATGGGAAGTATTGAAGGTTACAGGGCGGTGGAAAATAACTTTACAGTGACGGTGACGAAGGAGGAGGTGGTGGCTGCCGTGTTGCCCTTGCAAGAGCATTGGCTTCCGCTATCCAACCTCGACCTCCTTCTGCCGCCTCTAGACGTCGGAGTTTTCTTTTGCTACGACAAACCGGCGGCCACCGGGACTGCCGTAGTGGGGGCTCTGAAGAAGGGCTTGGCTGAGGCTCTGGTTTCCTTCTACGCCTTGGCTGGTGAGGTGGTGACCAACTCCGTCGACGAACCAGAGCTCCTCTGCAACAACCGTGGGGTTGATTTCGTGGAGGCCGAGGCTGACGTGGAGCTGAGAAGCCTGGACTTGTACAATCCTGATGATTCCATTGAAGGCAAGCTTGTTCCTCAGAAGAAAAACGGCGTGCTTGCTATTCAGGTGACATCTTCAACCACGGTCTATATTTGATAAACAGTAATAAAATGTGAAGTTGTTTGACCAAAAAAAAAACTGTAAAGCTGAAAAAAAATTACTATTATCATCATAAGAATGATGGCATTAGGCTTATATAGAACAACATATTATCCTACTTATAATATATATAAAATTATTTTCTAAAAATTATATAATGATTATTAAATAATTGTATGAAATCATAATTAATTTATTAATTAATATCTCCTGGTAAAATTATTTCATTTTTATAACTAATCGAGATAATTATTATAATATATTTATTGTAATAAAGAAAATAATACTCTTCTTTACTAATGGGTGCTCCCTCCGTGTTTATAAAAACATAATTTTTCAGCCCCTATCTTTTTGTGTGTGTGTATATAAATATATATCTATAAAATACTAGTTCAGAGTTCTATGATGTTTTGAAAAATATGTTGAAAAACAACTCTATTTGATTTGGAGAAAATTTGGAAAAAAGGAAAAGTTATTTAAACATAAACGATTGGCATAATTTTGATAACATAAAATTACTAATATTATTCCTAAGTTAGTATATTTGATTATCATATTTATAAAAGGGTAACTTTTATGTGATTGATCTAAGTTAATATGTGTAGTCTTTAAACAAAAAACATAGTTGGGTACTCTCCAAAGAAGGAAGGAATTTACACACATATATTACATCTATTTGTCTCCTTGTTATTAGGTTCTCAAACAATTACGCAATTTTACAATAATAACATTATAGGTTTTACGTTGTTACGTTAGAACAGTTTGAAGTTTGGACAGTATATATTATTTTAACAAATAACCAACAAATAGTTGTTTTTTAAACTTATCATACACTTGTAATATAATTATATTAATTTAAAAAAAACTTACTATCTTTTCATTGAAAAACATAATAATAAGAATAAGAGCATATGGGAATGCACATGTCATCTAATCTGACCATGATCTTTGAAAGCTTACAAATAAAGCGACGAATTATATTTTAATTATAAAATGATTAAACTTGCAAGAATGAAACACTACAAAGAAATTAATTTTATAACGAAGCTGTCTTAATAATTAGTGTTAATATAATCATATTATTGAGAAACTTCTTAGCAATGATTGTGCACATACCTTGTAGGACTAAGTCTCAATCATGGATAAGGCCTAACCCGGTTAGGGTCTACCCTAATCATGATTAGTTCGATCTAACCGCAATAGTTCATATAATGTTTGATTTTAGTAACCAAATTTTGACAAGAGCTAAAAATAGCGATGATTATGAATTTTGGAATGCGTAAGTTTTCTGCAATAATACCTTTTAGTGAAGATTATTTTTTTAAGAAAATCATGATTATAAAAAATATGACATGATTTTCCTGAAATACTTTTGTATAACATTATTATTCATCTTTTTCCTTTGTATAAAAAAATTATTATTTATATAAGTTAGGTAAATTAATTTTGATAAAAAAGATAAATATGAGAGATAAAGTAAATTAAGATCTTATACTTATGACCAAATCTGACACTCAACTAGATCTTTTGTTAGGGATTGGAGGATTGGAGGAGGCAGTATGCATTTTATGTTAACCTATTGAAAAGATTGGATTAAGATACAAATTTCCTCTGAAAAATTTCATTTAGGAGCATTAGGCAATCGAAAGATTTTATGGATGCAAATTTTTCCTGAAAAATTAAGGTTGTGCCAATTTTACCCCATACCGTTAAAAGTATTAATGGCTAGTGTTGGTTTTTTAATGATAGAGGATAAAATTACTACAATATTAAACTTTCAAAACAAAGTACCTAAAATTTTCATGTGCCAAGCACTCTTGAATAAAATTTTTTAGAATAAATTTGTATTTTAACCCTAAAAAGGCTAAACTCATCTCTTTGTGTTCTTTTTCCTTTTGAAAATTAAAACTTACCACCCTTTCAAATAAGCTGATCATATATAAACTTTACAATAGCAAATGCATGGAGATAGGACCAAGTTGTTGATGGCAGTTGCACCCTATAACCTACCCCAAACCTGAAGCGAACTACATCATCCGTACATATGTAAGGTTTTTTTTTTAAGGAGTGGGCCGGGCTGGTTTTGTGAAAAGTAATGTAATAATTTTTTGACTAATTTAAATATAACTACAAAATGAGTTAAAATAGTTAATTATAATAAGTATGATTTTTTTAAAATACTACCTCTAATCCTAATTATAAGTTCTCGTTGGTAACATTCATATACAGGTAACAGATTATACATCAATTTATAAGTTAAATAAATTAGTTTAAAAAAATTATAAATGAATAATAAAGACAAAGTGAATTATTATGTTTTTGAAGGATCAAATCAACTCTCAATTAGATATCACATGAAGGTCAGGAGAAAGTTTATAGTTTATATAATTTATATTCACTTATTAAATATGAAATCTGCACATCGCAGGCTACATTTCTCAGGTGTGGTGGCATCGTAGTGGCATGCTCTTTCGATCACCGCATTGCCGACGCATACTCAGCCAACATGTTCCTCGTGTCTTGGGCCCACTTGGCCCAGTTGTCCCAGTCGGCCAAGCCCACCATCTCCACCCTCGACTCCCGACCATGTTTCCGCCGCTCTCTCCTCAGTCCCCGGCGGCCCGGTGTCATCCATCCTTCCATCGACCGCATGTTTGTCCCGGTCTCCGAGCTGCCTCCTCCAAAGCAACCCAGTGCCGAGTCCTTATCCGACCCCGTCATTAGTCGGATCTACTACATCACTGCCGACCAACTGAACCACATCCAGTCGCTCGCAAACTCATCGGCCTCAAACGTCGTCGGCGATGGCGTGAAGCGAACCAAACTTGAGTCTTTCTGCGCCTTCTTGTGGAGGATGGTTGCTGCAAGTGCCAACAGCAAAAGGGTCATCACCAAAATGGGAATTGTGGTGGACGGAAGGAGGAGGCTCAGCGACGGTCGTGACAAACAGAAAGCTTCTCTCATGGGATCGTATTTTGGAAACGTACTTTCGATACCATACGGCGAGGAGTCAGCAAGGGAGCTGACGGGGAAGTCGTTGAGTTGGGTGGCCGACAAAGTTCATGAGTTCTTGGAAGACGCGTTGACGGAGGAGCATTTCCTGGGCCTTGTAGACTGGGTGGAGGCTCACCGCCCTGGAGGTGCGGTGGCGAGCATATATGTCGGCGGCGGAGAGGAGGGAGAAGAAGATGAGAGTTCAGCTTTTGTGGTTTCGTCGGGGCAGAGATTCCCAGAGGAGAAGGTGGATTTCGGGTGGGGGAGGCCGGTGTTTGGGTCGTACCACTTCCCGTGGGGCGGAGACGCCGGGTATGTGATGCCGATGCCGAGTCCGGTGGGGAAGGGCGACTGGGTGGTTTACATGCACCTTCGAAAGGGACAGTTGGAGAAGATTGAGTCTGAAGCCGGTCAGGTGTTTAGGCCCTTGACTTGGGATTACCTTCTTCATTAATTATATACATGTATACTACCTGTTGATATTATTAATGTGTATGGTCGTGAATGTGTGATTTGAATAAAAGTGCTACATTATTAGTGCAATTTTATGTAATTTTAATTTGAAATGTTAATCTTATATATTTAACGGAGATTTTCCTCCTTTTTTTAATGGAAATTAACAAGATTATCAAACCGGGTGGATGAAAACAGAAACAGACAGAACAACTTCAGTAGGATGTTCATATCCCTTCAGATGACATTGTTTGAGGAAGCCGTGGTAAACTGTGCGGATCAATCCTTCTTCTATTAATGCATACAAGTTCCAAAATGTTACTCCTCCGGTCCTTAATATAAGACCCAATTATTGAGTTGGTTTTGGTTCTAAATATAAGATCAATTTCTCATTTTTATCAATTTTCTCTAAATTACTCCTATAGATACTCCCTCAATCATAATCAGGTAGAAGATGGAGAGAAGGTATTAAGAAAGATGATTATAATGTTTTGGGAAAAATGTGTCACATTTTTTATAATTAACTAACTTACCTAACTTCCTTAATATAATCAAAATAGTTAAATGGGTCTTATATTAAGAACCGGAGGAGTACTTTCCAAATCCAAGAAATCTTTTCTAATTATAAATCCAGTAAAAGGCTTATCAGGAAGCATGGTAGTTCCGGGGAAAAAAAACAAAAGAATTGGACAATTTGGACTTCTTTTTCCAATGAAAATGGCAAAGCAGTGTGACCATATGAACAGAGCAGAATATGTTTCTGATCCTTCTTCCTTTTATATTTGTGTAAAATCATAGTCCATCATCCAGAATCAAAGATGTTAACACAAATATTAAAAGTCTGATGAAAACAGAAGCTTGGTGGAAGGTAGGAGAGCGAAATTGAGAAAGTTAAGAATGAAAAGTTGAGTCCTACTCATGAAGAGTTTGCTTTTTCCGGCGAACGTCTTTGAGAGACATGAAATTGTTTCTTAGTTTGATAAAGAGTAGTATTCATTTAAACTATAAAAGTTTGAGGAGAGTCTTTCGATTCGATCGTTTGACTCTCTTAAAGGCTCAAGCTTATATAGTTTTAATTAATCTTATAATTAATCGTCTAATGTAAAAATTCATACATTACCATTATGAGGTTATGCCCGTACCTAGAAATACTTACACTGAATCAGATTACGATCGGACACGGTTATAGACGCACAGCAAATACATCACCTGCATTGTTGAGAATAGAGACTAAAATGGCAACATATATAAAGTAGCTAGCTTGCATAATTCATGGTTTAGAAGTTACGAACCCATAAACAACTTGGGTGTTATGCTTATAAGTAACTTGAGTATTATTGCCATAAGTACGTTACTTTGAGAGTTATGATCCCATAAGTAAGGAAAACGATCAGTATTTTTTTCATTCCCTCACTGTACCTTCATCCATATTGGATACTCCTCTGGTCTTATTTATAAGTCACTTCTAACATGTTTCACACAGGCCAAGAAAAAACTTAAACTTTATTAATTCTCATTTAAAATTTAACAACTTTTCAACTTTAGTTCTATTTAATATACATTATACCTCATGTAAACAAAGTTAACACAATAATAAATAGAGGGTAAAATTATACATTCATACAAAAAATTTCTTTCACTGTCCTAACTATAAATAGAACCATAAAATTCATTTTCTCTTTTTCAAATAGAACCACAAGAATATATATTAGCTAGTTACTCACAATGTCCATAATTTGTACTTCAACCCCATGACTTAATGGACCTAGGCTAATCTACCAAGGGCGGATAGCCATAATCCAACATGGATAATGGCCAAAAAAAAAAGTCATCATATGAAAATTTGCCCTCAACCACTTATACGCTTTGAGCTTGCCCTTTCCTCTTGCTGATATTTGTCTCGAGGTGTTTAATCCACATATAAATTAAGGGTTGACAAAGTAGGAAATTTAAAAGAATTATAATTTGATCCCACAATTTTCAACATTAAAATACCAATAATTCAGATATGGTACGTACTTAAAAGATCGAATTCAACCTCAAATTAATTATCATCCAAATCATATATTAATAATAAATGGAGGATTAAATTTTAAAAAATTGGCTCAAAACCATAGAGATTAAAATAATTATTTTTTTTCTCTTTATTATGTAGCCTTTGGTTTAAAAATAAGTACTTCCTCCCGTCCTACTTATCCTTAATTATTTATTCTTTTTTCTTTGTCACACATTCTCTCATTACATTTTCTTATAAATTCTTTTTCATCTTTTTTTCTCATAAGAACATATTGAGAAACAAAAGTATATTTCTTATCCATTGATTGCTTTTAACTAATTTTTCAAGGCAAATTAGTTATTTGAAGCTTACACCTCTTCTTGTTCAAAATATAAGCATCAAATTTTTCAAGGGGCTTGATTTTTCATAAGATAAATTTTCAATTTGTCTAATTATTTAACATATTTTTTATTTTTAACTTATTGTCTCTGCCACTTACCCTCTCCATAAATAAACATGTTTTAGGAAAATAAGTTGTATTTTCTTTTACATATTTATTATTTTGTGGTCTAGTTATTTGATGCTTATAGTTTAAATTGGATGAAGTAATAAGGATCTGAGGGTTAATTTAATTTACATAACAAAATATGATGTTTAAATCTTGATTACATGTCTAATGGATTGGTTGACCAACAAAACCAACCGACTTGGTACTATTAAATCTTAATTAATATGCGGGATCTTTCTGGGACAGGCTTAAAGTCACGACAAATCAACAACTACCTTTTTTTTTTCCCCTCTTTTTGCTTTTTGGTACTATTAAATCTTAATTAATTCACTTCTGTTTGCGGTAAACGAAAGTGGGCATTAGCTTTAATAATTTACTGGTTACGACGAGCATTCATTTCTGTTAAATAGATCGTTATCCGATCAATTACTGGCAATTGATGTCTTGGTTCTGAAAAGCAACTCCTAACATCGAAGTCATTTGAGAATTGAGAGAAGTATTCATGTCACTAGGCTTACCTTTTTTTTTTTTTTAATATAAGAAACAATCTCTCTAATCGTAATGGTGTCTCTAAATATAAGAAATTCTTTTCATCTGAAATTTTAAACTGTGTTTTTTTTCATTTTTACCCCATTAAGTATATACCACACTGATTATTTCTCCGCAATACCTATTACCTCTCATATACGCTCTTTACATACAAGAAAAAATTGAAAAAATGCATATATCTCATGTATTTGTTACTCCTCTGGTTCTTAATATAAGACTAAATTGTTGAGTTGATTTTTGTCCTAAATATAAGACTTGTTTCTCATATTTATCAATTTTTTCTAAATTACCTTTATAGATACTCCTTCAACCATGATCAAATAAAAGAGGGAGGAAGGATATTAAGGAAGATAATTACGGCGCTCTAGGAAAAATATGTCATATTTTTTATAATTAACTATCTTACCTAAGTTTTTTAATCTAATTAAATTAGTTAAATATGTCTTATATTAAGGACCAGAGGGATAGTTATTACTAAACTTAACTAATATTTTAAACCACATGATTTTATAATTGTTTTTCATAATAATAAATGGAGTCACGGAGCGAGTAGTATCATTGACAGAGCCATTTAACTCTAAATGATGAGATTGCCAATGTTACAAGTATCTCTGATCTTAATCATCATCTTTGCTTTGATTAGACATATGCATGTTAATTGATGTGGAACACAATCTCGCAACTTTAATCCTACCACACTACCACGCACGCATCAATTGTGATTTTGTGAGTTTCATTACTCAAAAACGTTAGGTGGCCTCCTAACAACTCACCCCATTGGATTACTTGCTTTTATTATTCAACGAATATCATCTTGACACCAAATTACTTATCCACACACACTTAATTAAACTATACAGGCAGGTTAATCAAAATGAAATAATTAATACATTATATTATTCATGACGTGAGGTTTCAACCTTGTTTTCAATTCTTTTTCTCTTCATTCAATCATATCTCATATATATACTCCTCTTATCCTTAATATAGGACCCAATTATTGAGTTGGTTTTGGTCCTAAATATAAGACCAATTTCTCATATTTATTAATTTTCTCTAAATTACCCCTATGGATACTTCCTCAACTATAATCAAGTAAAAGAAGGAGAGGGGATACTAAGAAAGATGATTGTGGTATTTTAAGAAAAACGTGTCACATTTCTCATAATTAACTAACTTACCCAACTTTTTTAATCTAATCAAATTAGTTAAATGGGTCTTATATTAGGGATCGGAAGAGTATATACACACACATACCCCACAAACTGCATCTATATACATGTAGATGCGTCGAATCTCATGTGCATGAACACGCGAATATATAATTTTAGAGTTTTTATTTTTTTAAATCCTGAAAAATTCAGAAGTACATCATTTTATCAACATAAAATATCAAAATATCATGCATTTTATATATGATGCCAGACTGGACATCAGTATCACATAGCGGGCATCTCGGCCTCCCCTTGCCCCAAAAGCTGGCCTATCATCTTCTTCTCCGTACGTCTTTGCCGCAGCGATATATATCGCCTCCCTAGCTACCACCACCAGTGCGGTGAGCCTCCCCTGCTCCGCCCAATCTATGAAGCCCAGGAAATGTTCCTCCGTTCACTGCTTCTTTTTCAAGAACTCATGAACTTCTTCATTGTCGGCCACTCATGTCAAAGGAATTTAAAGTAATGGGAGTATATTGTTTCTAATTTAAATGCATCGTCTCTACACTACAAAAACGTGTTTTGCCGTTTTTTGAGAGAGAATGTGCCAATTTTGCTATTACTTAAAACAGGTAATGAATCAGTTTATTATGTTACTATTAGTCCCATTTTTATTCATTCAGTTCCTAATATTTCAATGACCATAGATTTGAATGAATTTTAGTGATGATTTTTACATTAATTATTATTAACTTTAGTTATTGAGAAATCATAAAGATCAAAATTCTCAATATCATTATACTTTGTTATTATTACAATCAAACTATTATTACATTTTCTTATATTTTGTTATTAGTTATTAGTGATTATTAATATTCTTATATTTTTTATTTTTAACTAAATTATATTATTATAATATAATCAGTTTGA